TGTTTTATAAATAAATATATATATTCATAATATTAATATCTTATATATTGTTACAAAATTACAATTTTTTTTTCTACAGTTTTCAGTTTTTTTTTTAAAGAAAACATTGTCTCGGAATCCGGTCGAATATCCGGAAAATATCGGATATCCAATTCAAAAAATTGCCTTCTCGGATATCCGATGTTACATTTCTTTCGAATATCCGATATCCAGTATCCGGTAATTTTACGATCCAGTGCATCCCTAGAACAAATCTTTATGCGATTGTCTCACATCTCATTATTTGCATACTTTTTATAAGACTTACAAAGTTTACTGTTTAAGAGAAATGGACGCATTGTCATGACAAGCAATTCTTTATTGCAATATTTGACCTGACATACAATGTAAATTACGAATGTCTACTTCATTTTTATCAAAGTTCTCATTTGTGTCCATTAGCATTTGTATTGACTTTCTGACGATCTACAAAATCATTACAATTAAACCAACAGTCAATCTTCTTGCTTTTTTAAACGATTGCATTGATAAAAAACTTTATGAACAATTTAATTTTTCGAAAAAAAAAGTATTTGAATGGAAGTTTTAAAACGTATCGATCTCTTTCTCTAGGTGAATGAATTTAATTTAACATTGAATTAATACTAAATTGATAATAAATTTGTTAGATCACTATTATTAACCCAATTGAACTGACGTATCTTTAAATTTTTATGACCTCTAATAAAACCTCAGATAAAATTTACACGGCCTATTTATTCAGATATGCGAAGCCGAGTTGCATATTCTGTGACGATATTGTACAAAATATTGTATAGAAGCATAATTGTAAAAATATTCCAATTAACTTGACTATGGTTTGAAGCATTTCTGACGACGTGATAAAAACGTGACCAAAGTTCAAGATAATGTTACTTTTAAAGCAATTACAGCCGCTAAGACGTCACATGCATAATCTAACAAAGTATGTATTGTGTTAACACATTTTAGCGAAAATGTATGCTAACATTTTTACACGATCGAAAAAAATGAGGAATATCCTATCTGCATATCAATTCCTTTATACTTTATATCATTGACATGACGTAAGCAATTCTTTATTTGCAATTCTTTAGTGCATTACTTGACCTGAAATACATTAACAATGTAAATTACTATTGTCTATTTTATTTTCATCAAGGTTCCCGTTTGTTTATGTGTCAGCGTTTGTATTGAAATGACTTTAATGACAACCTTCAAAATCATTATAATTAAAACAACAATTAATCTTCCTGCTTTTTTAAACAATAGCATTGATAAAGAACTTTATGAACAATTTAATTTTTTAAAATAATTTATACTTGCGACAAAAAAGCCTAAGTTAATATTCTCTAAAAGATTACTTTTTTTTAAATATATAATATTTTCGTCAATATGGAATTGATAATTAAAATATTGCAAATAATGTGCCGCTAATGTTTTTGTATGAAATGAGATGCTCTTTGATGTAGAGCGTAACACCATTTTTGCAAATTGAAAGTTGTGCTGTACTTTGTATAGGCAGCTTATCATTTGCCAATTAATTAGTAGACTTCGATCTGTAATTACAACTCGATATGTGTAATACTTACTACATAACATATTTCTCAACTGCATATCGTTCTCACGCTTCAATCATATTATTGAAAGCTAATCGTATTATCGAAAACATTAATATAAAGAATTAAAATAATCGTGACATTTGTTATTAAAAATTACAGAGTTGACGCGATGATTCATACAAGTATAAATTGCGAAACGTAATTTCAAACTCTTGTTGTTTATAAAAAATTGTACAAGATGATTACATTTGATAAAAAAAATATTACATGCCGAAAATGTTACTGTGGTAGAGATAAATTGTGAGATACTATTCTTTTTTATTCGAATACATTGTTTGTTTGATATATTGTATAATATATAAAAGAATTTATACTGTTAAGTGTGTATTTGTGCATCAGCATTTCATATGATTAATGTGCTTTTATCAGAAATAAATGTTTTGAACATAATCGAATGTTTCAATTATTATGCGGTATACATTGTGAGATTGTTTTACAATTAATAGATTTACGTATTACACATGCTTTACAATAGGTCGGTCTTTAGATCATGTAACGAATCATTATCTTGTAGAATCGATTATTTGTTTTATCGACAATCGTAAGAATAATTAGTTCCCGGATTCATACGAAAAGATTATATTGCGAAATTATCTATTCCGCGAAGAAAATATTCTGACTAAATAACTTTGAGTTTTTTTGATTAATTATATTTAATTATATGGTAATCTTAGGATGTGTAATTGATTACTCAATTTCCAAGAAAAAAATATTAAATATCATTACAAATTTATTTTATCCCGCTCGTGAAACGTTTCCGGCTTGAGTATAAAAAAAGTTTGAAATTTTTTTTGTTAATTATATGTTAATTATACAATTTATCCGATAAAAGTGTAATCGATATAATCTTTAAACTATTTATTGTACAAAAATTATATATGTACAATAAACGCTTTTTTTTAAATAAGTCATCCAGTTACCGCCATTGTCAATTATTGTGGATTTTTAAGGCATATTTCTTACCAATTTTACAACATAAGCTGTTTCCCTATTAAGAGACACAGTCGACATAAATGTTGTTCTATTCTTCTTGGCATTTAATAAATAACAAAAATAGAACAACAATAGAGAAAAACTTCCTATTATGAGATAGACGCCTAATATGAGATAGCGGCATTTCTGCTAAACTAAACGCTATCTATTGATGCTACCAATGAATATATTTGCTCTTAAATTGAAAACTATTTAGTGAAAAATTCATTATTAGAGCATGCCTATAATCATTATAAAAAAAGATTTTAAAATTTGGATGCTTTCAAGTTTCGTTGAGATGAGCCTTTAAACTTTGTTTATTATTTAATAAGTAAATATTTGGCAATAAATTTTTCATGTACTGATAGAATAAGATTTATGTCATAAAAATGTTGCTGAAGTACAAATAAATGTTACTAATTAAGTAATTCTTTTCCAAATTAATAAGATAGAATTAGCAATTTATGACTCTATATTTATTTAACATTAACAATTTTATAACTTAGATTTGAAATAAAAAAAACAATATAAGAGAGTCTCAAACGATAATCAGGCTTAATAGCAACTCATATTTCGAGAGATTTTTCCACCTTTTCCTAAGTAGAAAGTGATAAGAAAGCCGCGCGAAGAGCTTCTTACTACTAACTTTATTACCACTATATTTTATCACTAAAGTATAAAAGCAGTGAACAATTAGTCGTGCGAGAACTTTGCACCGAAAGGACCAACTTTGTATCCAAATTATAAAATATCTGTGGAAATCAGCTTATTAAAGGTAAATTAATTTTGAATGTTGATATTGATTGGTTTGATCTTTGATCCTTATTAATTATAATTTCAAATTAAAGATTAATTCCAAGCCGAACTTATTGATTTGAAAAACCTATTGCTGACAAAGATAGTAGCAACAGATTTAATGATTAACTGTCGCTGACGAAGACTGCGGCGATAGTCTAAATATCTTTTCGAGAGAAGTGTTTGTGGAAATTGTTAAATTAATCAGTTTTGAATATCTAAAAGGGCTGCGTGTCCAGATTAAAAGAATCAAATTTCTAATCAAACGAAGTTATTTTTAAATATTGATACTTTTCCTCCCCGCTTTACCAAAAATTTCATCAATTCCAAAATCGAATTGAAATCCATCCAAATATTTTTCAAGATAACTTTATTAATAACAAAAGCAATAAAACTGCTTGCAATAAAGATAAACCTATTCTAAATTATAGATTAATTAAAATTAGCAAATAAATTATCCCAATTTCACAAAATAATTAAAAGAAGTGCTTATCGTTATTTTAAATATAAAATTTAGTATTTATCTAAATAGTGGCTAAAACCTAATCCAACCTTGTCCAATCCCTGGGTAAAGTACTTAAATGTATTGACCCAAAAAACGGGCACTAATTCTTTAATTTGACGTTTGTAACATTAGAAACACAATTTTTTGACTTTACGATTTGCTCACTTTTTACATTTCTTTAATTTAAAAAAAAAATAGAATTTGAATTAAATTTTACATCACATTATCTTAAATCTTATTAAATTCCTTTCAAAATAATCTATTATTTTTTTAAATTCTGCCCATAGACTTCTAGCATTTACCCAAATGAACCCGGTCTCGTAATATAAGCTTTTCCTCTACTTGTGTCAACTGTGTCTCCTAAACAAATAGCAGCTTTGTATTTGTTCAGAATGTGTTTTGTTTACACCGAGCAAACTTTTATTTGAGAAAAATTGTTGAACGAACAGAAAGGTTCTGTCTCTATGATGTATTAGTCAACAAAGAGTCTTGTAGCATTTTTTACACAAACAGATTTGCACCGATTTGGGTTGGATTAATTCTCTACTATTGGTTGACGGTACATGTTTTACCAATAGAAGAGCACAACGTTATTAATCCAACAGGTTGATGCAAATCCGCTCGGGCCGAATTAGTTAATGGCTACGTTTTCAGCAGAAAAACAGTTTTGCAACTATTTTAAAATTCTTTAATATAATTGATTTTGCTCTTAGTTCCTCATTGGATCTAAACGTATAAACCAAAATATTTAAGAATTTTACAACAACTGCAAAACTACCTTTTCTGCTGAACGCAGCTATTATTATCTCATTTTACCAGAGAACGATATTTTTAACGATGAGTCTCGCGCTAAAAACTCGAGATTATTTTTATATTTGTACACACTCGTAGATGTCACAAGAAACCATTGCAAAAATGTAAAAGTAAACAAATGGAAAAAGCGACGTAAAGCAATAAATATTGATAATTAATCGAACCACAATATGTCACGCACATCATTTTGACGTCAGCTTGCTACCTAGCAAAGATATATCGGTCATGCTTTTATCGAATAGATTGCATAGCAGTCTCAAAAAGTAATTGATTACCTTGGGGGATCGGTATTGAATATGTCACATCATTGAATTCGATGTCCACTGCAGCCATTTTTGAAAGATATGACATACATATAACGCCGTTGACATTATTGAAGGCATCTTTCTCGCAAACACCGTTATCGGCTCCATTTACTTTGCCTTCTGGTGTAAGGTCCATGACGATCTTCCCACACTGGAGTTCTCGAAAACGATTTATCTTCAGCTAGCGGTTGTCATTACGCGATACTTTCTTCCGCGGTGCGACGAGTCGTTTGATATCAGCGGAGAAACGCGACGCGAGAAGAAATGATTTCAACTGAAACTGAACTAAGCGTTCAGAAGAATGGATGATTCAAAGAAAGAAAAAAAAAAAGAACAAAGTTTCACGCGTCCAGTCATCAAATTGTGACTAATGTTTATAATCTAATCCAATGCTCGCAAAGATTTATACATTTCAAGCTTATTCCGGCGAACGACTCCCACCACCGCTCGAGATTTGGCGAACGCTCACGTGACTCTCTGGCTCCAGAGCGTCCCTATATCAGAAATATACTGGGAGCGCACTTTCCGCCAAATTATTATTGAAACATTTTTTTTATTAAATAATTTATTTCCCCAGTAGCCTATTCCACAAAAAGAAGAATCAAAATTATATATCGTATAATATGATATATAATTTTGTTTTCCTGCCAAGACACATTCGAGTGTTTGATTTTTCTTTTTGTGGAATACCTAGGCCTACTGGGGAAACCACATTAAAAAAAAAAAAAACGCATCTTACAATAGTACCTCACAGGTGATGTGGAAAGCTTGTCGAAATGTACGTTATTCATAATTATGTAATGTATTAGAAAACTACGTTAAGATATAAGTATATTATTAAGGAACAATGAATAAATTAACAATAGAAATTTTTATGTTTAGGGAAATAAATTATATTAAATAAAAAAAAATTATTTTAATAATAATTTGGCGGAAGATACGCTCCCAGCTTGGCCGCCGGTGGTGGGGATTGCACGCCAGAAATTCGAAATGTTCAAATCTTTGCGAGCATTGATTCTAATCTGAAGGCTGAAGACCTTTAAAGCCAATCTTTTGAAGATAATTGACGAAACATTACGAATGAATAATTCGAATTATTTAAATTGAAACATAAATGAGAAGGAGGACACGGCCACACACGCAAGAAGTTTTTTGCCAAAGTCGTATATTTCAAATTAAAAATGTAAAATTACATTTTTTATTTTGGTAAAAAACTTCTTGCGTGTGTGGCTATATGCTCCTTCCCAATTGTGTTTTATGTTATTGCACCACCTCATAATATAACTATTGTTAAATTTTATCGAATTATTGAGCCACCCGATAATATAACTGTTGTTAAATTTTATCGAATTATTTATTTAACTAGGGATGCACCGGATAAAATTATTGGATATCGGATATCCAGACAGAATGTAACATCGGATATTCTGTATCTGATCGGATATCCGAGAAGGCAATTTCTTCGAATCGAATATTCGACATTTTCCGGATATCCGATCGGATTCCGAATGTCTTCTAATAAAAAAAGCCTATAGAGAAAAAGATTGTAATTTTGTAACAATGTATAAGATATTATAGCATCATGAATATGCAAACTTGTTTTTAGAACATTTATATAAGAAAAAATCAACAATTTAATGATATTAAATTTTAAATATATTCCCGGATACTAATGATATCCGACTATCCGGATAGTAAAAAAATGCCGGATAATACCGGATACTTTCTGGATATCCAGTGCATCCCTATATTTAGCTTTAACTGAATTCGAGCAGAATTAAAGAATTAATTACAAAAACAGTTAACATTAATATGTAAAAACCAGAAAATTTAAAGAATTTGTAGCCGAAGAAATTAGCGCAAAATTTATCGTATTTTATATTCTTTACGCTATAGAAAAGTTAATAAACAACTAACAATAAGAGATAATAAGTAACAAAACAAAATATAGTGTGCGAATAAATAAAAAACAAAATAGGTGTATATTAGATGCGATGTATATTAGAAAGATAATGAACTTTGTGCTAATATTTTTATGTCTCGTCTTTGCTTTTTATCTATCCTTTTTTTACACAGCTTCTATGTTCTTGTCATTGTGCTGATTACACATGCTGACAAAGTACGTAATTCAAAAAGGCATGACAAAACGAGTGGAATCTATAGTTTTATTTAAAAGCAAAAGAAAATAGAATAATGCAATATAATACTTTAAACGTAAAACATAAATATAAAAATGTGATTTTTAATTAGAGCGAAGAATTTGAAAAATTTTCTTTTTTATAAATTTAGAAAAATAAGCCAGTACACCAATGAGTAATTCAGTAGGAACGAGTCTTTATATTTAAACTTTTAAGTCTGGCAGTGGTAAGACTGACAAGATGTCCTCTATTTAACCAATAAAATGATATATGTAAGTGTCTCGTGATCGTAAATAATCTTAATATATTATATAAGATCAAACTATGAATTACGTTCTACGTTACGTCAATAATCATTAGAAGTCAACGTTTAATAAACATTTGATGCTGATTATACTTTTAAATCTAGGAGAATAATTTTATCTCAGCGAACAAAATTTCCAATAGTAGAAATAAACTGAACGCAGCTGTATTACAACTTGTACAGAAGAAGGTGATAATTGTGAATATTCGGATAACTCGGGATTCTACGTTTTTTTCATATTAAGGTGCAATTTCATTTTTTTTTTTTTTTCATTTTATTTTTTCTTTCAGAAGGAAAGCTGATTTTTTACCCCCACTTCTTTCACAATCAAAGCAGTTCAAAAGTTATTTGCTCTTCTCCAGCTTCCTTTTCATGGAGCGTATGGAGCTGGCTTTAAACTAATGAAGAACTCATTTATTTTCGCTAGCTTTTTCATTTTAATAAAAATGGCAATTTTATAGAAAAATGAATACAATTATTAAAAAAGAAAAAGTATTAGTTAGCAAACACAGATCACTTTGATGTCAAATTCTGGTCATGTTGGTACGAATGACGTTAAATAACCAAAAATTAACTAACCAATGTTTCCGTCACGTCATTATGACATCATATTTTGATCCTGCTTAATTTTCAGTTAGCAAATATATAATTTTTATTTTACACTTTGATTTCTCATTGATTTATATCAATGCAAATCAAAATATCATTTGTAATAATAGTTCGTTTCTATGCCAATCATTAATAATTTTAATTAATTAATACATAAGGTATTTAAAGCTTATGCCTCTGTTGACAGTTTAATATTATTAAATTGTCCTTCCCCAGTGTATATCGCATTCTTATTGCCGTTCTTTTTCGAAAAACGGTGGTCCTCGGCTGCGACCCGATACTTACCAGCACCCAGACTGTAACAGATGTTCTAATCTGAATAGTCGTAAGATTAATATCTCAGGTTCGCGGAGCAGAGTTTTTTTCCTGCTTGACGTTTTTTTCCTGCCAAATTCCTTCATTTTATGAAAAACACGTGAGCCTAATTTTATTGATTTTTCGTGTAAAAATGGAGATTTGACAAGAAAAAAAGATAATAATTATAGTTTCACCACTGCCATCTCAAAAATCAATGAAATTAGGCTTACTTGATGTAGTTTTGCATAAAACGAAGGAATCTGGCAGAAAAAAGCTCTGCCCAGCGAGCCTGAGATATTAAAGTTTACGACTATTCAGTAGGGTTGGTAAAGACTAATGTTTTTTTTTTTTTTTTTTTTAAGAATAAAACGTATTGTGTTTTTTCTTAAATATGTTTTTAATGCTTCAAATATGCTTTAAACAGTACTATAAAAAAAACATATATATATTTAAAACATCAAGCATATTTTAAACTGTTTAGAACATATTTTTCACCAATCCTGCTATTCAGGTTAGAAAATCCATCACAGCGAAATACTGCGATGCGAATAAGCGTTATGGTCATATTTTCGTGTGAGGCGCGAGCTTAGATCTGACATGGGCACGTTAGACTGTTTAATAAACTTTACTGCGAATGCTATGTTATTTTCAGGTCATATCAGGTCATATCAGGCACAAGATTAGGTTTTTTATGGACCATGTCAGATTTTTTTATGAGATTATGACGTGGCAAAACAGTGACAAAGTATCATGGCGCTGGCCAATATTGTGGCATTCGTCGCACTGACGAGGAAATTTCTACCAAGGCACACACATGCAATTTATATATGTAACTGTTATAAAATTCTTCAATAAATTTCGGCTGTAAATTATTACTCGTATTTACTATATTTGTCTTAATTAATATGTCATATAATCACAGGTAGCAAGCCGTTTGTCATTTTTACGTTAAAATGGCAATAATGTCATTGCTAGCTGTATGTATGGACCTCAACACTAGGTCATAACTGAGTCGTAAAATGCCAGTTATAGTCGTAGATCAACGCACAATATTTTGGGATTGTGCACTGATCCACAACTACAACTCAGGTTTCACGATTTAGATACGGCCATCATTGTGTTGAGTTGAGACCCATATACTCGTAGCTAGCAATGCTGACGTCATTTTAACGTCAAAATAACAACCGTCATCAGCTTACTACTTGTATGTGTGCAGAGACCCTATATAATAGCTGCTTGAAAATGTTTTAACATGACGTTTCCGCGATGACGTCAATAGTCTACGACATCGACCGTCATTAAGATATTTAATGACGTCATCCATGGTCAGTAAATGATCAAAATTTGACGTCAAAATGACGTGTGTTTGCACCGATTTTCAAAAATCGCAGCGAACATGGTTTTGCTTTGCTTCCAAAATTTATCTTGGAAGACATACAATTCCATAAACATGACATGTCATGTTATGTATTTTGTGATGTTTCGCTGTTAGTTGAACAACATCGAACTTTGAGCGTAACTTTACTATATATGAATTCGGTGAATTCGTATACATCTGTGAATTACAGCTAATAAAATTGATGGATTGAGAATAAAATGCCAGCTTTTATTAGCTACATGAAATGGCAGTTTTATAGCGAATTATTATAGCATGCGTGTTACATCATTCAGGATGCCAGAAGTATTTCTTCTCCAGGAAATAGACGTACCGTTCTTTCTCTCATATATTTTTCAATTTTTAATTTTTTTTTTTTTTACATTTGACAACGGTTATGCAGCTTTGACTCGTGACACGTGTAAACCGCCACGTGTAGAACGTAATAAACAAGATGAACCACAGTTACCCCGGAATTTTACACGCATGCGCCATTATGAAAATATAGCGCATTGAACTTCGACCGCGCGAGTGTTCGATCGAGCGGTCGGTGAATTACAGCTAATAATAATAAGCCCACATAAGTATGCGCTTGTATTAGATGGCGACAGGATGCATCGCTAGATTTAGAAAAAAAGAGGTCGAGAAGTGCCAAATAATTGACCTTATAAACCTTATTATCACATATGAAACTTGACATCAGTTTGGAACGTTACTATATATAATAATCTTATTGCGTGCACGTTGAAGTACAATTACGAAATTGTGTATTTAATAAAATTAAGTTTTTATAAAAGTTTCCACAAAAGCAAATTCTCTTTGTTGCTCTGTTTTCATTCCTCACTCCGAATGCAAGAATTAGCTCGACGGGAATACAATATCGATCGTGCGGTTTTACGAGCTACGTCGGACTGACTCAACCTTCCACAGTTTATTCACTGTCAATCGAACTACCAGTTTTAGTCGCGAAATCACATCGTGATTGAAGACCTTGATTTATTTACAATTCGTTACGACCGAAGCGAGGGCAATGACTGTGACTTCCTTCTGATTCTCTCGCTGGGCATTGTATGGTTTCAGAAAAACTGTTTCTGCGTTTGGTATTCATGTGCACGAAATCAACAGCTCAACACAGTAGTCTAAATCAATTTGCGTAGCGTGAAAAAAATATAAAGAATTTAATTTGAGTATTTTAAATGCTTTATATATTGCTGTAAAAAAACGTTCTAAAATAATAAAAATTATAAATTTTTGTCGATATAACGTTAATTTATAATATATGGTAAGATAATTTTGTTTATATTTCCGACCATTAATATCCCATCGCAATGACTCCGATGACATTAATCGTTGCTATTTACACAAGTTATATTGTTGTTTATGATTTTATTGGAATGACGGATTCCTAGTCAGGTAATTTCTTAATAATTTTTATGTTTGATGCTAAATTTAATATTGATTACTGCAATTATAAATTAATAATTCAATATACATAAAAAAAACTTCAAAGTCAAATAAAAGTAACATTTGCAAATGTTGAATTTACATTAAATCTTATTATATCTTATCGAAGAGCTTGTGTTGTAAAAAATGCGCACACGTGCAGCTTATAAAGTTATTATGCACCGATAAATGCAAATCTTTTAAATTATTTATTCTTGTCTTCAGATAATCCTTGAAAAATCACGTGAAAAGCAAAATCACAAGAAATGTATAACAGATCATTATTTTAGTATTAATAAAGTGCAATAGTTAGCTTCTGAGAAATAAGGGGGTGTCACTTTAGGAAACCTATGTTAATATCGGTGACTTTCCTCTATTGTTTAATATCGCCGTTATTATCTAATTATTATAAATATTATCTGAAATAATTAATATTATAAAATAATTTTTATTATATTCTGTGAGAGAGATAAGATCTAAAATTTACAATCACTCAAAAAAGTGATCTTGCAGTTATAGCGAACATTATTTAAGTACGAAAAATAGTTAAAGTAGATAAATTTCTAGCAAGTACTGGATATTAAATATGTATTGCATCTAATCGTATAGATGACAGAGATCGAATTTAGATTTGTGTTATAAATTCTATGCGTATGATATATAATTTTCTATCAGATATAAAAAATAGCTGTAATTCTAGCTGGAGCAGCCAAATATTTTTTGCGTGATAAATGATATATACTAGCATTAACACGAAATTTATAATTTTTTCGTGCTGCGAATTGCGATTAGATCATTGTGGCGGTGTCGGAAAGATTAGAATTGTTTGTATATATATATAGGCATTTCCGGTGTGCACTTCATTGCATTCTGCGTTTCAAATCCTTCATGTTAAACAAAATCACGATTTTTATTCATGTGTTTCAAATTATTCGAATTATTTATAAATATAACACCAAATACTACACTCGTTTTATCATATCTTCTTTTTAATCACGTATTTAGTCAGCGCAATGATAGGAGCTGCGTAAAAAAGTAACGTAAGTAAATACGAAATAGAAATAAAATATAAAGTTCATCTTTTTAATACATATTACACTGCACATTTTGTTTTGTTCTTTATTTATTATCTCTTTGTTATTTATTAACTTTTCCGTTGCGTAAAAGATTTAAAATACAATAAGTTTGCGCTAGATACTTCGCTTCAAATTTTTTCTGTCTTTTTGCAAATTAATTTCAACTGTTTTTGTAACCATTGAAACGAATTCAGATAAAGTTAAATAAAAAAAGTAGCTGTTCACTCGCAATGTTTAAAACATAATTTCTCAAAATCTCCAAACTTCAATTACTCGCAACTTGAAGGTTACTGGTCGCTTAGCGTTTTAAGCAAAATTATCTTCAAACTGACTGTAAAAGTTTACAGATAAAGGAATATTCCCAAAGTATGTGAAAAATTCTGCATGTTGTAAATCATCGATTGTGTGTGTGTGTGTGTGTGTGTGTGTGTGTGACATTTACGGGCTCGTCTCGAAATGCTCCAATTTTTTACTCCGATTTTTCCCCCGAAGAAGTGCCCCGGCGTTCTTATTGTTGCAGAAAATACGATATTGATGATTCGCGGATAACTCACGTTATCGGTCGCGGTTCGCCAATTGACACGATCACACTACCATTACAGAGGAACTGCAAGCGGTAGAACGTTGTGGGAACTCAGCGTACCGCCACCAGCAATGATGGTAGACTGACTCGGAAATAACGCTGGCTTGTGATCCACACTAGCTATATCTCTCCCTATTGGTGTACGACGTGAGCTTCACAACGGGCGTTCTTCGTTACACCGCAAAGACAGCTGTATGTAGCGTGATGGTGTCGTGACATCGAAATGCTTGTGACCAAAATATGAGATGATACGATGAACGAGGCGTCAATATTTTCGACGTGTTCTAACGAGTGTAAATAACGAAATGACTTTCGGATTCTGTGGCTTCGGCACCATTATCGATTTCTTTCACAGCCAACTCCCCGGAACATTTTGACTTCTACAAAATTCAAACCGATTGTTGGAATCGGAATTCAGAATAAAACTAAATTTTCACGGTGAGACGGTTCCTATGTTTAACGAGATTAATTTTTAATTTGTATAAAGAATTAAAGAAAGCATGAAGAAAAAAAGAAAATTGATGTATCTCACTTTGTGACTGGATATTCATTTAAATAATTTGCTTAGTTTTACGATAATTTATCCGAATCTAACAAACAGGCTTTTGTACTGAATCAGAAACAAGTTTATTCATTAATAAGTAAATAAACTTTTTTTAGCGCATTTTATTCAAATCTGACAAACAGGTCTTATTGTACCACTGAATCAGAAACTTATCAGTTATAAATAAATCTTTTGTAAGTAAATAAATCTCTTTCTATTTTAATGATACAATAAAGTCTGTTTGTTAGATTCGAATGAAATGTCGCATGTAAAATAGACAAATCGATTTGAACGGATATTAAATCACAAGTGCGAGACATATTCTCTTTTTTTTCCTCTTATTTTTATCATTCTAATAGCCACCGAATGCGCGATATTGATATAAAAATATTAAAGATATGATAGACTCGCACGCTATCCACCACGCTACGCTCGTGCTCAGTTACATTCACTTTATTTAAAAACTTGATTTAAAAATGGCCTTGATATTATTGTTTTTATATTATAGGAGAACGGATATAATATTTCGACGCTAATTTGCATATATTATTGATTCAGAAATTCAAATTAGAATTAAAATAACTACGGTTCGTTCTTTATAGACAAACTTCTATAAATATAATACTTTAGTATTTAGCTAAAGAACTGCTTATTTTGTTTAATTTTTCAACAATTTCACAAAATATTAAGTTAAAGGACTTCTTTTTGTTTTTTTTTTAATTGGCAATTATATCGATATATACTCGATAGAGCAACGTTTCAGCTTTAAGAATCTTTTTTGTTATTATTTAATCGTACAAAAAAATGCAAGAAATCAATTTTAAAGATTACATTCTTAGTAACTCATCCATAGAACAATTTAAAATCTTTAAAATCGATCTCTTGCATGTTTTTGTACGACCAATGGTTCGACAATTTAATAATTAAATATTAATAATATTTAATAATTAAATATATTAAAGCGACGTTTTTTGTAAATTTCTATAACTTACAAGCGTGAATAATTTTATCTCAAATTTTTTTCGCGAGATACGTGTTTCATGTTTTTATCTATAGTAATATATTAGCAATTAAAAAAAAATAGAATGACGAACGTTTCAAAGGTATTTGATTTGACGTGGAATATGCTAATGGTTCGATGATTAATAATCGAACATTTGCATCAGCGACGTTTTTTTTTAATTTCAGCAACTTACAGGCGTGAATAACTTCGCAAAAAGGATTTCAAATTTTTTTCGCGAAATACGTATCTCATGTTTTTATCTATAGCAATATGTTAGCAAATTTAAAAAAAAAATAAAATGATATTTTAAAGGTACCTGTTTGACGTAGAATGCCTCATAGAGTGTAAGTATATTCTAATAAAGTCATTTTAAGGAGAAAATATCTAAAGTATTAACTTATTTTTAATAGTACAAATTAATACAAATTCAGCTGTGTTAATTTTTGCCCTTGTGTTGTTTTTTATGATCCTGCCATCTTAAATATTAAATTAGTAGCGCCACTGTTTTCTTGGAAATGATACATAATAGAATTGTTTTTGATAGTACAAAATAGTACAAATTTAATCCTATTGATTTCCGATATTATTTTTCTTTTTTTCGTTTATTTTGAATTGATTCTGCCAACTTAATATAATATTAGGCTAGCATCGCCACGATTCTTTCCGAAAGGGTACAAAATTGTCATTAATGGTACACACCATTTAGTACAAAATGAGTACTAAAAATTCCGATAGGTCCGATTTAATTCTGTTGATTTGATCCTGCTAGCTTTATAGAGCTCAATATTTACAAAATTATAGCTCTTTAAAGCTCTTTTCCCCTCACGATTTAAACTTTAAACGCGTTTTTTTCATCAAAACAACTTTTCAAATCGGCGTACATCATAACTTCTATAATTTTTATTTAATTCACTTGAAGCTTTCAAAAAATCTTCTTTTGATAATTATTTAAAGCTAATAATTTGATAATTATTAATTACTACATAGCGATTTTACGATTATGAACTATTATTGTTATTATTATAACATTTATTATTATTATTATTATTAGGCGTTAGGAACTCGAAAGCTCATTGCCGCAAATACCAAATCCCGCCACTGTACCCGTCCCTGAGCAAGATCCCTCCATTTGTGACCCTCGTACCCCATTTCGTTAAGGTCCATTCTAATATTATCTTCCCATCTACGTCTTGGTCTACCCAATGGTCTTTTCCCATCCGGTTTACCAATTAGTACTTTATATGCAATTCGATTCTCATCCATACGCGCCGCGTGACCTGCCCATCTTAATCGACGCGATTTTATGACATTAATAATATCCGGACTATTATATAATTGATGTATATATAATTCTGCGTTGTGTAATTTTCTCCATTCGCCCGTTTCCTCATCGCGTTTTGCCCCGATGATTTTTCGAAGTACTTTATTTTCGAAAGCCCTAAATCTTTTCTCGTCTTGTAATGTAAGTGACCACGCTTTGCTGCCATAAAGGACTACCGGTAAAATAATCGTTCTGTAAATTCTAATTTTTAAGCGCCTAGACAATATCCGCGAACCGAGTAATTTCTTAACCGAATAGAAGCACGCATTCCCCAAATTAATTCTTCTCTATTATAACATTTCTGTGCAAATTTTTTTTATTAAAAATGATTGTCTTTTTTTCAAATTTTTACAAAAATGCATATTTCTGAAAATCCTTATGTACTTCTTTAGTAAATGTTATGTAGAAAATAAAAATTTTTAGTTTTTTGTTCTAGGTCAAACCATTTCGTAATAATCTTGTATGTCAATTGGGCGCTTGCTGAAAAGCGGCTTATTTCAATCAACCGCGCAGTGCTGCGATTTTGTTTAAAAAAATTTATTATTAAAAAAGATATTACTGTGCGATATTACACTATTTTCGTCATAAGCAATGCAAATATGTCTTAACACTTAGGATAAAAGCGCACGATAGACAAAGTGTCGGCCGATTATTGTGTCGTTTATGAACAGTCTATGGCAATGAATAGGTATATCCGTGCACGTGGATTCGACACAATTTTAATTATTTTCTATAAACGATACGACAGTCAGTCGACTTTTTGTCTATCATATATTTTATCCTTTTATTCTTAACTGTTATTTCAAACTGAAACAACACAGAGCTTTGTAGGAAAAAAAAACAAGATCAAATGTGATCAATGTAACAAGCTGCAAGGTTAACATAGAAAAAAAAAATCAGTGTCATTTAATGGGTGCATTATGTACGATGCAAATTTTATTAATTACTATTTACATCATAATTGTGATTAATTTGCAAAATATTAGAACTTTGATTGTTTTATCAAAAGTAATACAATTTAATTTATATTGAAACAATACAAAAACTGAAGCACTTTTTTTACTTATATCTGCAAATAAAATTTATTCCATTTTCCATCGTTCTGTTTTGCATAATTCCTGTTAATAAAAAATATATTGCATATAATTTTCGTAAATTATACATCAGATATTGCTAATATATTCTTTTCTTGCTAGTTTAAAAAAAAATTTTCTAATAAATAATTTTCTAATAATAAAAAATATATAAGATTTTTATTATTGTATCGGTTCTTACACGCAAACACACACACACACACACACACACACACACACAAAACTAATTATTCATTTATTCATTCACTGTATACACTGTTCTTCTTTATAATTTGTATGAAGCTAAAGAAACAGATTTTTTTTATAAATATGTAATTTGAAAACAATGTATATTCTGATAATTCAGAAATGGTCTTCACAACATATTATCTTTGCAATCATTCACGTGAATGTTAAAAAATAATAGTCGGTTCACACACACACAAGATTTATACCTAATAGCTCTTGATAATTCCATTGTATCTTTAATAATACACATGCGTACAGCATCATTAGTGAAACGGAAATTCTGTTTTTATAGACTAACGTATAATTATGAGCTAATCTTAAAGATGTAATGGTATGATTTGGCTAATTATTTCTCATCCGTAATTTATCATTATAGTGTTATATAAGCTATAAATTTTTGCATGCAAAAAAAGATTGCAAAGCAATTATATTTAAAACGCTACATTTACAACTTGTTTTAGAAATATCGTTGTTATTTTTTATCCATGACATTAATTAAAAATAGCATTAATTAAGTATAAATTTTACAGTAATTGTAAATTTATTTAAAGGACATTTAAGTAAGTAGTTTAAAGTTGACGTATTATCGTACATTAATTTTTTTTATACATTTTACTCTTTGAGCTTTGTTCTGTAATATTAATTAACCGCATCATTGACAATCATATTACATAAACCGTAAGATATAATGTATATCTTTTTTGTTGTAGTACATAAGTCTTTCAATTACAGATAACAGAATGCTGCAGATATCGCCCAATAAGAAAACATAAATAAGAGTTCAATTACTTATTTGGTCGAAAGTTAAAAATAAGAAAAGATCATCCTTATGTGACACAAGTAATTAATATTGCGATACAATATAATATTAAAATAGTTTTTTAACGTATGTATGTACATCTATATACAGAGTGTCC